GAATTTCAACGGTGCTATTAGATTTTCAGAGAAATGTTTAGATTAAAAGATATCACGATTTTCCGACGCCAGGACGTGATATCTTTCAAAATCGATAAAAAGCGAAATTACTCTGAAATGGTTGAGAATCGGACCATGGACAATATGAACTTTTTTGTTCATTTTAGGGTGAAGAATCTACTGGAGAAGTTTGTAGCACGAGTAGCAATTCACCCTGTATATATATATCCCACTCGAGTTCTTTATCTTCTCTACATCTACTGTTATCTACTCATTTATCTTTTCATGTCTCTTTCTTTTCTCTGGTTTTCCTTACATTCGGTCATATGTCCGACTATCAGTTTTTCTACCTTTCTCTTTGATATCCGAATAAGTCGTTCATTCATATCATCTCCTTTTCCTTCTCCGTCTCTTTCAATTAGTACTTGATCGAAGGAAGACTTCTTTAAGTTTGAATAAATTAAAAAAAATTTTAATTTTAAATCTGATTAATTAAACTCACAAAGCTAAACTAACAACATTATATAATATGGTAGGAAATAAATATTAAATGTTATTCTAATATCTATTTATGTTTAATGTATTTTTCATAGGCTGATGTTAATATGATGTTTATTTTGAAACAGAATATTAGCAATATATATTTTTTAAGGAGAGAAATAAAGTTTGTGTAATTTGTGTTTATTTTACTAATTTGTGGTTTAAACAATGTTTTTCTTCTATTATCTGCGGTTTCGAAACAACTTTTTCAATTAAGCTCTAAAGCCCTTTTCTGTACTTTACTCTGACAAAGTTCACTGAAAACTGCACATCGCAATTAGCGAAAAGAACTTATCGAGTGGACGGAAACGCTTTTCCAGTTTTGCGATGGCAGCTTTTTTTCTCTCCCTCCGGGGTTTTACGAGGAGGGTCTTTCCCTTTCCGCCTTCTGGAGAGAGAGGCCGTCGTTCATTGAGAGAAAGTTAAGACTGCAATCCCACGCGAATCTACAGCCGGCTGCTCGGTGCTACACGCCCTTGAATTACAACGAGTTAATTTACAGCCCTTCCGGAAATCAACACAGTTTATCGGTGTTAATGATAGCGTGGGTGAGGGCGACACATGTCAAGAGAGTTTCAACTTGCAGTGGCGCATCGACAGATTGCGTGTCGACCACCGAAACCCATTGAAAACCAGATTCCAAAGATAATCTATCAAAGCATAGTAGTACAGACCCTCCGAGAGGATGAACGTAATATGAGTTTATTTATAGGCGCAGAATATGATATAACGTCACCACTGTTAAATCTAACGAAAGAAAAAGTGCGATAAGTAGATGTATAGTCAGATAAAGAGTAGAAAGTGAGAGAAATGAGAAAGGGGAAAGCGAGAGAAAGGAAGAAGGGATAAGTTATTGTAAATGAGGAAGAGTGAAAAACAAGGCATAAAGAAAAAATGAGATAGAGAATGAAAGAATAACAAAAAAATATACCGTCAATGAAAAACAAGATAGGAGGTGATTCGGTAATATTTTTTTCTTTATACAAATGTTCGCAACAGCACAGACCATATAAACCCTGAGGGTGCCGGGTTTTTGAAAAAAAGCCCATTTGTAAGTATGTCGGCAGCTGGATTCGAACCCGGGACCTTTACCTTACATTGATGAGCGCCGTGTCAACGCCTAAACCGTTGCGGCCACCGACGCCCCCGTGATTCGGCAATAGAAGAGTTAAGGTTGTATTTAGGAGACTGATAAAAAGATTGAACAAGAGAAAAGAAAAGAAGGTGAGATAATGTGAGAAGGAAATCAAACGTGATAAAAGAAAGAGAGAGGGGTCGAAATGAAAGCAATGAAAAGTAAGTCATAGATAAGTAGGTAGATAGAGAGAGAGATACATAAAAACAAAATATATTAGTTACATTTAGTGATTCAAATAAATTTATCGTAACACTAAGTAGACTAACAAACAATCATGGCAGTAGTAGAAAAGCTGAATTATTTGGAGGAAAGCTAATTGTATCTTGTCACGTGGATTAGGGTTGTGGTCAGAAAAACAAATAGTACCAAAGCTTAGCTTTTAACGATATATTTCGTCTTCTTCAGGGTCTACAGAAAACAATTTTAATAATTGTTCATTCATATAAGACATATTACAGATTCTTGACAACTTACCGCCCCTTTTGAATTTTCGGTTGAGATGGGAGGTTGGTGTCCGAGTGGTAGAGCAGCGACGTATCAAGCTGAAGATTGTGGGTTCGAATCCCATTCGTGCCATTGACTAACTGTAAAAAATCTTGTTGTAACACCTGAAAGAAGGTTAAATTTTCTGTAAGGAAACCTATTTTCATTGGAGAAATGATGAAAAAATTCTGCACGAAAAGGTCAGAAAAAACAAAAATGTTGAAATTTGGAATTTTTTGAAAATGTTTGATTGGTAACTGTTAATAACTAACTAACTTTGCAAATTCCCTCAAAAGTTCTCCATTCTGGAACACCCAAAAATTTTCCATTTTGTTGAGAAAAAAAAAACGTGTCGATAGGGGGCACGTTCAATTTTTCCGGGAAATCCGTCTGACTCTTGAGTTTCGTGTCAGTTCTTTAATGTTCAATTCAATCAGCTTTATGTTATCAACTGACAACTTCCTCAGGTTGGTGAATTAAATATATATNTGTGTGTGTGTGTGTGTGTGTGTGTGTGTGGGTCCATTGTTTAGATTCTAGGAGGAGGGTGTGTCTTGTTCCAAAATCCCACTATAAACTGCTTAGATCAATCAGGTCCGTTTTTAGTTTACATGACTTATTATCTTGATGAATGTACGTAATTTCTTTGAATAACCAACAATCAGTGTTATGCCCCATGTCAAAAGCAAAATTAAGATTATTAATATGCTTATGTTTTGATAATACAGTTCCTTTGTCTCTTAACATCATTACAGTCATGCTGATGCTGCCTAATACGCTCTGAGAGATACTGTTTTGTTTGGTCATAATAAACCGTCCGACATCGAGTACATTTTATACAATACACCATTAGAGTTTGTTAGGAGTGGATCTTTATATTTCAATTTTGTGTAGAAGTTTTTTCCTACCTTGTTTCTAAATTTAAATATTACTTTTATACTATTGATTTTTTTTCAAATAATCGTTTTAATTTGTTTGCTGTTTCTGCAATATTTGTTATTATAAAATCTTTCTCCATCTGGTGGGGGTAGTTACACTCATTCTACTGTTCATTAACCTGTTTATGAATGACTTCGGATATCTACTATCCATTAATATAGATTGCATTTTCATTCGGGTTTCCTTATAGAAACAAATATTACTAAATTTCAATGCCCCATCTTTACAGTTGTACGTAATATTAATTTCCATTTCGAATGAATGAGCAGATGAAGAATGTACCACCCTATCAGAATTTATTTGGTTTCGTATACCAATTAGTTAACAACTTTTTTCTTTTCCTGAACACAAGCAAGTCCAGAATTTTGTACTTATGTACCTTAACGGGGATTTCAACGGTGCTTATAGATTTTAAGAGAAATGTTTAGATTAAAAGATATCACGATTTTCCGACGCCAGGACGTGATATCTTTCAAAATCGATAAAAAGCGAAATTACTCTGAAATGGTTGAGAATCGGACCATGGACAATATGAACTTTTTTGTTCATTTTAGGGTGAAGAATCTACTGGAGAAGTTTGTAGCACGAGTAGCAATTCACCCTGTATCATCAAATGCTCGGCATTGGTACAATAGCATCATTTGTTTTTCTGACCACAATCCACGTGATTATGATGAAAGATAATATTAAAATAAAGAACATGTTTTTGAAAATATACTCATCGATTTATGGACTTTAGAAAAGCTTCTAAGCTAGTACGTAGTAAATATCTACTACATTTTGAAGTTGTTAAAAACATTGGTATAGTAAAATGGATAATTATGATTTATGAAAATCTCTTTTCTTACATTGAACTTAGTTATTGTAATGCGAAAAAACAAAACTAAAAACAAAATTAAAAAGTCTCTTTTTTTGTTTACTATTTTACTTTTACTATTTTTTTGTGTATTTTTTATTTTTAATATTTTCTGCCGTTATACAGAGTAGAAACTCTTATCTCTCGTTCGGTTTTTTCTTAGAGCTTTTTGGCCTTTTAGAACCGCTGGAGGTGGGAGAGACATTGACAAAATCGGGCAACTCAGACTCAGTGAGGAACGGCGTCTCGGTCCCTGTCGTACCGATCCGCAGGACGTTCTTCTTCAAATCTATGCAGCACTGGAAAGACAACAATTAAATAATACAATATTGATTATCATTATGATCAGCATGGATCGAAATTCATGAAGCAACCATGAACGTAAGAAAAGAGATAAAAAATGCTAAATTTGACGCTAAACTTGAATATTCCCTATCCTACAGTAGAAGGCTGCATAAAAAACAACAAAGAAATGACGGTATCGGAAGGATGATCTAAAAAAACATATAGTTTGGTCGATCCCCATGATTTTGGACAATATTCAACTTTTAACCTTCTTAAGTGTTGGGATTGTTATTTAATAATTTTACACATGACTTATATTGTCTTAATTACTACTAAATAAATAAATAGTTAATATAAGGTAAAACCGTCCAAACCATATTTATAATTCAAATTAATTTTAATATTGCTCAGTGCATCACCCGCCTGTCACGCATTTAAGCCTAACTGAACGACAGATAACCCCACAGATTTTTTTTACGAGGGTTCCCAACAGCAGAGGTCATATCAAGCTGGGGTGTCGGTGTTTTAAAAAAAAATTGTAAGTATGTCGGGTTTCAATGCAGGTCCGCTGGATTCGAACCCGGGACCTTCACCTTACAGTGATGAACGCTGTTCACCGTCTAAACCGTTGCGGCTACTGGCACCTCTATCACAGTTGTTTATATTACCTACAATGTTTATTTTCGTTTTACCGTACCACACACAAACTTAAACATTCATGTCTATAAATACATTCACATATGGTAACCACACTTGGGTTTTGATATTACAGGCGTGCCTCACCACTTCTTGCTGATTAATACTACTCTTTCGGTTTTTTTAGCTTCTCCTTTGCCCATTTTGTCGCGTGTTTGATATTTTAGTTTTTGTGCTTGGTCCTTCTGCCTATCATTCTGTCTTTTCACTTTCTGTTTTGTGTCCGCTGGCCTAACCATAGTCTGCGGGTCATGTGTTAAGTCAGCAGCACTTTTGGTAGCTTTGTCAATTTTTTCCTTTCTTTCAATGGCACAATGGATTTATCGTTTTTGCTATTCCTATTTAGGCAATTTAGGCACTCCCACACTAGTTTTAAATTAAAAGAATCTAGTTCTTTTATAGCTGCCTGTCAGTCCGAAAGTATGTAAATCTTTTCCTTTCACTTTTTTTTTCTTTGGCAACCCCAGTGCAAAGAGCTTGAATTCGCTTGAACCGCCAGTTTAGAAGGTAGTTGAACCCAGACCATGGGGTTGAGCTAACGTGTAATTCGGTCCCTTTACATCTAATATAAACAGTGGCGATTGCCTTAATCAAATGTTGAGCCAGTTAATCATGTTTCTATGTAGTCATAATCATAGTATCATTTTTTCATATCCTACATGTATTTGTATAATTTAAAAAATGTTTATGAATCCCAGGCCCTGAAGATGATCTCGTAAAAATCGAAACGTTGGTACGATAAAGAAAATGTTTTTCTAAAACCTACGTCACACCAGACCACATCTCACGATCTCCAAATAATCATCAACTAACGGTCACTAAACACCACACAATTCTATGTAGAGCTGTTTTGTTCAGACCTTCTACGTCTAGTTTGAGGCATCCCTGGAAGAACAGCCAATTACTTTTTTAGGATCTATAAAAACCGTGGTATTTGCTTATTTGTTCTTATTTGTTTCCACCTCTAAGTTTATAACCTATAGACGTCATGCCATTTTTTTATTTTGTTGATCAAGTACGCGCTTTCTAGTGACCTAGTTCTAGTTAAGAAGTCGTTATATTGCCTTCTTAGACGTTAATACTTTTTTTTTTTAATAAGTATTGACAAAGATCCTCAACCATTTTGATAATAGAGGTTCTGCCTTAGAGGGTATGATGATTGTTTGCACACACATATTAAAGTAAATGTTTTTATTAAATTCTCTAATTTCGTGGTCCGCTTGACTAATTAATACATTACAATTAATTAAGGTTTTTAGTTGAGATGAAAAAAAGTTAATGGCACGAGAGGGATTCGAACCTCTACCACCTGAGCTATCGTGACAATGTTGAATCGAGCGTCAAGCTCAAAAAGCTTCTTGAATTTAACACATCTAACTCGATTAACGCATGAATGCTTTAATTTTTTTGCGAGGCAAGACGAGACTGTAAGCACAGACGTCACACGTCAAACACAGTGATTATAGGACCAAATAGGTGATATAAGTTAAGTTTTTATTTCCATACCCTCTCAAATCTATTGTATTTTGTTTTATGTTTAAAATTCATTCAAACTAAATATTTTGGTCAATTGTATCATCACAGTGGGTTCCGAGGCAAACTGATATAGCTTTAAGCCTGGTATTAGACGAGTTTTCCTCTTGAAAGGAGACATACAACATCAAACAGACCAAACTGGGTTCTAATCTCGAATTGCTCTGATTAAAGTTAAATAGAGAGAGACAATAGTCGGGCCAATCACAACCATTACGTTTTACTCTATTCTATTGATTGTTTTAGTTGTTATGAAAACTAAGATTTTTCGATTTACGCCTACAAAATTACCTGGTGCCGTTTTAGCATGTCGAGCCCCAGCAGCATGTCCATAGCTTGTTCTTCAATGACAGAAAACGATGTTGTTAAGTGATCTTTTTCTATAACAACGTCTACCATGTGGACGCGGCCGATTATCCGCTGTACCCCGACACCTCTGGCCACTCCGGACCACCTCGTGTCTACGAGTCTCATGATGTTCACCCTTTCCGCACATTTGACAGACATTATTGTCGTTTGGGCACCTGAAACAAATCGTTCGCTCGAATTCACGTTCTAGTCGGTGTTGATTGTTCTTTTTTACCTGAGTCAACGAACGCCTTGACAGGGTACCCGTTGACAAGGCAGTTGATGAAAAGCATGATGACCACTCCGAACGATTCCGGGTTGTGTTCGAGAGCGGCTTCCATGTTCGCCTCGATGTTTTTCCTTCTTATGTCCTCAGCGATCAGGCGCTGGGCCTCGATGTCGAAAGGGTGCGCCTGCAGCAGCTGCATCCTCTTTCTTTCAAGTCGTTCTCTCTCTTCTAATTGTGCTGCTAGAACCGAAGCGAATTCCTCTGGAAAAAAATCAAAAATTAACACGCAAAATAGATTTTAAATTGTTGCTTTTCCTACCAAGTTTTCCGGACTTTAGTGCATTGTATAGTTTCGGGTTGTTTTCTTTCAAGGCGGCCATGTGGTTTGGATTGCTAAGGAGAAGGTTTCTGATCTGCGCCGGGTCATTGCTAGCTGTTCGCTTCGGCGATACAGAAGCCTTTGGCGAATTCGGGGATGCTAAAACCCAACCAGGAAATATATAAATATATAAACCAAAAAAAATCACAAAACTTAACAATAACATATAAAACCACTCGATATCTAACCTTTAATATTAATTAAGGATAAAATCATTCGTACTGGACGTTATATGATTCATTTGATTTACCTGTGCAATGTACACTGTGTGAAATGCACGGCATTATCTGGTAGAAGCCGTTTCTTGCGCGATTGGGACACGGATGGCCGAAGTAATAGAAATTAAAATATTTATTTAAACTCATGATGAATTTTTGCTCTTTTACCACGCGTACCACAATCTCTTCTCTAGAATCTTCTTAAAATACCGTACATCACATGCAGATCCTAGGGCAAGAAATAAATATATAAGTTGTTGTCGGGACAATTAGGTCACATCTATTTAAATTTTTTTTTCATTTATTCTTGATGAAAGATTTTGCAAAAAATCTTCGAGCCCGCTTCTACCAGATAATGTCAGAAATATTTCTAAGATAGCATTTCTTATCTAAAAGTTACTCTCGCTTTTAATTATTTTCTACTACGCTACTTATTTTACATGAATCCAAATAGACACAGTAGTTAATTTTTTATTCTGACCTACATGTTATTTTGTTATTAATATTATCAACTTTTTAATATGCTGTAGTTTATAAAATGATCCGCATGATTAAAAACATTTAATTGTATAATAATTATTAGTATTGTTAAAAAAAAAGGAAAGTTTCTATTTTTCACATTTAATTAGAGTTGTTACAATACTATTTCAGCATATTTTCTATTATAAGACATACCACATTGGAGACCGCGGTGGCCGAGTTTCTAGCGATTCTGGGTTCAAATCCCCCCCCCCGGAATTTTACCCATTACCAAAAAACTCATGTTTCGGAATCACGTACGATACCTCGACAAACAACTTACATCATTTACTGGCTGAAAAGACTTATTTGACAATCGGTCTTAACTTACATTAACGAACAATAAGGACTATACTCTAATGTGCTTCATCACCTATGGACATACGGACTTCAATTGTACGGAATCCCAAAGCGTTAACTTCTTAACTTACAGATTCTAAACCCTACAGTCTCCGAACTCAAAATCAAAAACTCTCCGAAAAATAATCAATACTCCAGTACATATCTCGAACCGTACAATTCATTCCGAATTAAAAATCACGTTTGTCTCGTATCTTGCCTAATTCCGTTACAAAGAGTTAATCAATTATCCAATCCCTCAAATGGCAATATTAAAATTGTCATCTACAACACTACCCGCCAATTCCATACAGAGAACATGCTGTGACACACTTGTGCTATCAAAATGTTGTCAATAGGTTCTTCAAAGAAAACGTCAAAGATCAAACTATACGGAAATAAAGAGTTCAATTGCTTCAAATATCAATAAAAAATAAATTCGGATCGTAACAAATTTTGACGAATAAATGACCATAGTCTGTTTATTGCTTTGCAGCCGTAGTTCTGCAGACGATTTGAGCACCGAGGCCGGACGGGCAAACATAATCTTCTTCTGTCCTGGTTGTCATGTAATGGTTTCTTATAAAAATGTCTGAAAGTAAATATGTAGTTCTTCAATTCATAGCATAAAATTGAACAAGTTAATAGCGAAACCCTACGAACCCACACCAAACTTCTACTTATCGTATCTTTTCTTCAGTAATAGCAGAATTACTCCATCAATATCTTAACCTATAAATAAAATCTCCATCAAAATGAAGTACAAGGGACGATAGGGATAAGTGCTAATTAGGCGACTGTAAAATAAAACTATCCAACACATGGACAACTTAGGCTAAGTTCGACTAGGATAAAGCCCAACTGCAAACATAATTTTCTCAAAAATATTCTTTTCTCATCTTAGGATTCATGACCCAGTCCTCTCCGCCAATATTATCAACAAACTTCACGAATCTCTACATCTTTTTCTTCCTTCTAAACCTTTTTCTGCCAAAAAAAGTCAAGCAGGCCATTTGTAATTTCCGAAAAATCAAATTTTGAGTTTAGCACCTAATTACTTTTACAAAATTAAATTAACTCCCTACAAAAGCGTCTTCATAATGTATATATTCAACTTTCCTAAGGACTACCCACTTCCTCGCCCTATGGATATACTCTTCTATAAGCAAATCAAACCAACCCACCTTCCTAGTTCTTACAAACCCAGAAGACTCAATAGGTCTTTTGCCTATAACTGGTAAGATTCTGTGGAAATTAAAAATGTTCGACTTTCCAAGTTGTCACTCCTGACTTGGCCATTCATCAACCGCGTTGTAGTCGCCATTGTTGGTACCGTGGAGCCTTCCTGGCTAATCTCAAGCCTTTGACAAGGTTTTTGGGTTTTTGATAAGGGGACATCTCTGTAAGCTCAAGGGTATCCTCCATCTACATTATGTCTAAAATCTTATCTTACAGTCAGTTCCCTTTCTATATTGTCCAAAACATTTCTTTCAAATCCATCACCCAATTCTAGCTGGTGTCCTGCAAGGTAGGACCCTTCTTATGCACAATTTACACATTTGATTTCCCCACTGAAACATTCACTTTTACTTTTTCTGGTATCATCAAAACTCACCTACGGTAAAGATTCCGTTACAGCTTCATATAATTAAGAAAATCAATTAAACGCGAATCTTAGCTCATATATTGATCAAGGTTAACAAAAGTAAACGTAAATATATTATTTTCACCCTTATATTTTGTATTGTACAACTATAACATCCTTCTATCTGGAATGATAATTTTAATTGAAATTATTGAAGGTTTTATGCTAATATGCAAAGGTGGTGCGGTGAAATCACCTACTTTAGTTATTAAACGTGGAACCAAAACTGCTGTATCAGAAGTACATCCCGAAAGAATAAACTTAAAGCTCTTAATATAAATGATATTTGTGATGATCAACATAGTTAAGATTGTATTTTACTTATAGTTCTACCGAGTTAAGTACGGTTACCATGTTTAGAGGCGGTCCGATCCTGTAGAACGATTACGTCCCCGTCTTTGATTCTGTAACCATTCAGCGTGGTGTGGACATTGGAGATCCTTCTTCCTTCATGCACAAGTATAATCTGTTCCTTGAGGTAGCCTGTCTCCACTTCGCAGAGAGCGAGGAAGTCTTTTATCGTCAAATCCCCACTCACTTCCACGACAAACAGTTCTTCCCTGGGGGACGCTATCGTCACCTTCATCCCCTACTTGGTTCATTCTTAAACCGATTCCATTATGTGTAGACGGCCCGCCCCGCCCGTTTCGTTTCCACTTACATTACTATTTGACAACAATCATGATCACATATGATCAATTACCACAAGATTTATTTCGACGGAACATGTGTGAAACCTTATATTTATATAGAGTGTAAGAGTTAGAAATTTTAGGAGGATTTTTCGTGTTTACCTATTCTTGGTGTACGGTTACATCTGTATGGCGGCGAACCCTTCCTTCTGGGCATTTTCCTGAAGACGACCATGTCGCCGTCGGCGATGCCGTGAGACCTTAGGTCGAGCCCTTCCTGCACCAAGGGTGAACCTTTGTGGTAGAGGCTCAGGTCGTTTACAGGCGAGTTGGTCTCCCATGCGAACAGCGTTTTCAACTCGCTGAGAAGCATGTCTCGCCGGACTTCGACGACAATCATGTCATCATTTGAGTTGCTGAGTGTCAGTTTCATCGTGTTCGCTCATTTGCGTCTTTTCATGGACACGGCGACGAAAAGTCGCTCTGCCCCGAAGGCATCCGTTTAAATTTTTGACCGTTTGGCACTGAACCTTGTTGCATCACATGTTCAATTTTCTCACTTTCCACTTGGTAACATTTTAAGTATTTACCTTGAAAGTCAGCAAATCGACGAACATTTCCATAAACCATAAATACGTTTTCTATTTTTTAAGTATTTATACGTCACGTCAAAGATACAAAATATTATCAACGACTGATGTGAAACAACTATATAACAAAAACATAAGTAACCAGACAGTACACCTTAGGACTGAACATAACACGACAATTAATAGCGCATGGTAAAAATGGGCGAATTGTCAGTTCAGTTTACTTTAACGTACTAGAGATGAGTATGGATACTCGATATATCGAAAATTTCGATATTTTTGTTTAAAGAAAAGACATTTTGGATCGATATTTTAAAATTACGATATTTATGATATCAATATTTCAATTTTATATATGTTTTCAAATATACCTATTAATTAAATCCATTAGAGTTCGTGGTTCTATTGACCAATTAACTGTTTTCAATTGATTAATCTTTATGTAAAGTAATTGGTTGAGATAAAAAAGTCAGTGTCACGTGCGGGATTCGAACCCGCGATCTTCGGCTAAATACGCCGCTGCTCTACCTCTTGAGCTCTCATGACTTCGATCCACTCGGTTCGATCCCACTCGTGATATTGTCTTTTTTATCTCAACCAATACCTTAAATATACCTATTAATATAAACAATTAGAAATTATCTGTATCTTAATGTTCCGTTGTAAAAAATACAGCGAGACCCCCCCCCCCCGTCGGACGGAACGTGAGGGTACTTTTCCCATACATAGCAGGCTGGCAAGGAAATATTTCCCAACAGTGGCAACATCAGTCCCCAGCCGAACTTTTCTCCAAAACTGGTCAGGCAGTCTCAAAAACAAGAAACAGGCTCGGTGGAAAGTTTGTGGAAAAATCCTATTTCTGTAGTCATTAGAGGACGAATTATGGGTGTATTTGTATATTTATCTTAGTTTTTATTTGTTTATAATAATTTGGTAAAATTACAAAAATATACTACAAAAAAAGAATCTAATTATTAATTCTAAATATTCTTTATTTTTATTATTCCAGAGATATTTTAAATTAATTAAAATTTGTTTATTTAGATCGTCTTATCTTTTTTTCTTAGGCTTCTGCTAATAGAAATAAAAAATAAAATCAGTTAGCGGATAGATCGATATTTTTGCTTACGATATTATCGTATATCGATTATTTAGAAACTTTTTCGTTTTGATACAAAATATCGATTTTTTTAATGATACCCATCCCTATAATATATCCATATTTCAGTTCATTTTAGCTCTAGTCCATCTTCCTAAAGCATTTTCAGCTTGTGACGTTCATTCGGCCATAAAACATCTTAAGTCAAAAGATTTTGACCTTATTACTCTAAAAATCCTCGAACACCTACCCAAAAAGGCATCATAGTCACTGCATACCTACTAATAATTAATACTGTTCTTTGCGTAAACAGCTTCCCTTTATCAAGGAAAACTCGTATATATTTATTTTTTAGTACGACCCGCTCTTGACCCTATCAGCAGCCAATGCGTAAACAACATACTGACAGACCTGAATTCACTGCTGAAAATGAAACGAACTATAAACTTTATAGACCTAGAAATAAAAACCGACGACAAACTTATTTCGACATACGTAGAAAAGCAACAGCGACTGACATCGTACAAGCCGTCTCAAACCACTCATACCAACACAAAATGTCAACACTGAAATGCACGACAGACTAAAATTAATCCCTCTAACTAAAGGCAAATACGAAAACGAATTATAAAGGTACAACAAAAACACAATCAACAAAATGCTAAACAAATCACGCACATCAAAACAAAACAACACTCAAAAACTCACAAACATCAATCACACAATTAAAAACATTACACTAATTAAATAGGAAAAGGAATAAAAACCCTAAAGACGAGCTAGAACAATCAAAACCCCCGATTTAATCTACCAAAAATGTACAGCTATTACTAATTCCGACACACCCCCCAAACATTCAACCCTAAAAACCCCATAAGTACATAAATTAACAATAACTCACAAACATCGCTAACATTATTAAAAACCATACAAAAATTAAAAGGACCGTGTATTAAAATGTCCGATCTGAACGATCAGAAAGATATAATATATCAAACATACCGGCAAACAGTACTAATTAATTAATCTTTTTTTATGTAAGGTTTTATTTCAAATAAAGCTAGTGACACGAGCGGGATTCGAACCCAAGACCTTCGAAAGGTTGTAGGTTGAGATGGGGAGTTGGTGTACGAGTGGATCGAAGTCACGATAGCTCATGGGTTAGAGCAGCCAAAGGTCGTGGGTTCGAATCCTGCTCGTGACACTAGCTTTTTCATTTCAACCAAAACCTTACATAAAAAGGATTAAATAGTTAAAAGAAGTAATTATATAGACCACTAAATATAATGGATTTAATAAGTACTAACATTGCTAATACTCCTCACACCACCTGGGACCTCATAACTAAAACTTCATTTCCCATGTATCACCCATACATTGAAGATGGCGAAATACCGAAACGCATCTGACCCAACAAACCTCAGTTAGGATAGCAGACAAGAATGATAACTGATGTTAATAACTATCAATCAATAGGTTTATCATCCCGCAGGCCGCAGGAAGAAATCTCATAGTTTTTTTGTGAAATTTCATTTAAGTCCTACTAATTGAGATAGGAAATAGATTTGGAACCAAATTGAAATTAATAAACAAAGGAGAGTAAAAGAAAATTATAAAAATACTATACATAAAAAGACAGGTATGTTAAAACAAAAACAATAAATATAAATAAATGCATAACAAAAAGATTATTTAATCAATATTATGAACAATAGGTTATTTTGTAAAATAATAAATAATCTTTTATTAGAATTTTAATATTAACATATTTTTTCTATAAGTAATATCAAAACCCTGTCAAATGTGTTAATAATTCCGTCGAAAAATTGTTAAAGTTTAAATATAGTAGGGTTTAGTAACATGTTTAGATTGCTAGTCCACCTGGACAAATAACTAAATGGTTTTATTATGTAGCTTCCTCATTTCATCGCCAACTCCCCAATTATCCCACTTCCCTTCCATCAGCCTCGCTCTACCAGCCGGGAATTTACGGGCCGAATCTACGCGTTGTTTTGATTCGCGAACACACCATCAATATTCCAAATGATCTATTTTTTCAGTCAAAACTGGCCCATCGGCCGTTGTAAAGGGCGGTGAGTTGTAGCTGACCCCTGCTGCACATTAAGCAGACGTTACGTTTATTGACCCAACGGCTGGTTTATGACCTATGCCTATTTTATCAGAGCTGAGCCAACACCTAATCTTTGAAGTGGTAAACAGATCTTCTGGAAGTTCACGTGCCTCCCTTTTCTTCTCGGAATATATCGTTTCGAAGATAAGACGGGAAGCCCACCTTTTTCCCATTCGGCGGCACTCAATTTCGAACCGCTTCCGGGTTATGTCTGTATAATTCAAGAGCAAAAGTTTCTGTCAGCTCATCCCCTCGATTTTGCCAATTTATATCGTTCCTACTCCATTGCCAATATGGTTCCAAGAAAAATAATGGACATATTTTGATATAAAATATACCCGGCATTTCATGATCAATGTAATATTTTTGTAATTTGATATATTATCATTATAAATTCCAACGTCCACAGCAAGTTTTATAAAAAGTTATGTCACATCAACCGATAATTTACAAGACGCGCAAGACTATTCGATGAACATTGAATTTCAAACAATTAAAATACATGTGTATATTAAATAAATAAAACACTTAAAGACAAAACCTGACATCATATTTTGTTGCTTATAGAAAACTATATGTATTTCTATAGATATATAAATTACAACATGTTTATTTTAATGTAAATGAATTAAACGAGAAATTCATTATTTTTAATAAAATTTATTTAATTATGATGATTTGCAAAAATTTACCAAAATGCAGGAAATATAGTTCAGGATAGATTAAATTTTAACTTATACTTGTTTACCTGATTTCTTTCTTAATAACGCTTCGCCTATAACTTATAAAGTTGTCTCTTAGGCATCGAGTAAATAATCGATCGGATTTCATCTTCTGAAAAAGAATCTCATTCTTCAAAAGATGGGTTTGAAGCTGTTCGACACTTGTTGAGGTGGCGGACCAGGTCTTACCCTTCCCATAATTGTTCAATAGGATTCGTGCCAATAAATTGTAGTAATCCCTACATTCTCCGAGTAATCGGTAATTCGATCCACATGCGGTTGAACATTAAGCATTAAAACGAAGTTTGCCGCATTATATGGAAGAACTCCCCCAAGTACCTTACTGAAGTTAAAGATCCATTCTGTACGATATTGGTTCAGGAAGGGTTTAAACGTTGATTCGACCCCATATCATAACTGACTGTGTTTGAAAAGGCTGTGACACACGCATGGCACATGAAGCCTTCTCCAGATTTTCTTCACGCACGGTCATCTGATTGTCACAAACCAAACCGGCACTCATCTGTGAAGAGAACAACCCCCTTTTTGTTCAAGCGTCCAAGCTAGATGTCGATTTGCGAATAGTCGCCTTTCTACTTGATGCCTCTGTAGATGTACGGAACCTGATGAGGGACGTCAGACTAGGCTACTCTCACAAAGCCTTCTGATGACGTTACATTTCGGACCGTCTGGAGTTGAGAACCTACAAGGAAACCGTTAAATGACGGTTCCTTAGTGCGGTAAGAGCAATAAAAGGATCGTCTTTAGCTGTTGCACATCGCGGCGGTTTATGACCACATTGTTATGATCGAGAGAGACTTCCTGTGGCTTCAACCGCTGTAGGCCATCTCCTTGGCCAAAGCATGTGCCCAACGAGATCTTCTCGACTTAAAACGATGCTGTCTGTTTTTTTTTGTTTTTGTTTTTTTTCTACTGATGAAACTGAACTGGTTTTCTTTTTTTTAATTACATTAGTAACATT